AACGGTAATCTAACAACCAAGCTCTATAATAAATGTATGACTATAACTTTTCTATCGTCAACTTCCCTTACTTATGCAGCAGTAAACCTTCATCACCTGCATATGGAGTTTATATATATCTCAGTTGATTCGATACGCAAAACATGCTCTACGTATGAACAATGTCTAAAACGACGTTAATTATTGACAAACAATTTGATGAAACAAGAATATCTAAAGTCTCGTTTAAAGTCATCATTTCGAAAACTCTATGGTCGATACAATGACCTTGTCAGCAAATACAATTTATCATTGAATGAAATGCTGACTGACGTTTTTCATACCAATTGTTAGTCCATTATTTATACACTGAATTGACCACGGATTTTTTCGGTTATATCCTGATTATGACAACGAGCACATGACGGGTGTGACCGGTCGGCAGGGGACGCTCACTCCTCCATGGCACCTGATCCCACCTCTGAGGTTTCCTAGGTCCGTGTTTGCTCTGCTCTTATTTTGTATATTTGTTTAATGGACGTTGAGATTTGATACTGTTCGTTATTTCCATATCCTTCTTTTAACCACCGAACATGTATCTCTGCTGGTGGACAATTTGTCCCCGAGGATACTTGTCGTTCGGTACTTATTCATGCATGAGTACACATAATAACGAAATGATACTGGCAGGCGCGTCGCCCAGTATAAAAAGGCGTCACTCCGTTGAGTTTATAAGGGACACAGACTCAAGGAGTTCATTTGGTGCCCCTCGGATTATCCTCAGGGATATTAAACATATGTCATATGTACAGTCTTCAGATTCCCAGTTTTGGTATAAAACCAATACATCATATACCAAAGTGAAAGAGTGTAAAGTTTCTATTACAATTATATTGCATGATTCCTTTTCCAATCCAATGTCTTCTGTTTCAAAATGTTCTGTGCGAAACTGTAAAACCTGTGACATTTTGATAACTGACACTTCTTTCACCAGTAATCTTACTGGACAGAGCTTTTATACCAAAACTTGGGAAAATCTGAACTGCAAATCTTCTAATGTTGTCTATGGAATAGAATGTAATCTGTGTGGACTTATTTATGTCGGTGAAACCAAGGGATCGCTTAACAAAAGAATATCAGGTCATAGATTTCAAATAAATCATGGTGGTCAGCAGCATTTATATAAACATTTTAATTCACCTGATCATTCTATTTTATCAATAAAAGTTAGAATTCTGGAAAAGATTTATCACCACACAAATAGTTCGTCGTTGAGTACACCTTTCCGTAGACAACGTGAATAATTTTGGATTAGGAAACTAGGGACAGCCTTTACCTATGGATGTATTGACGATGTCGATAGTCTTGGAAATCTTACAAGCCCGCAGTGTAATAATGTGAATGTGATGAGACTTTTTAACAATACTCAGAGACGTAAGCGTAGTCATGGACATCGTTCGTACAATAAACCTGCAATACACGACGTCTCTTTTGATTCATTACTTCCTTATATAAATCAACAGTTAGGTCTACATCATATTCGAACCAAACTTTACTCTGTCCCTTTGAAACTTTAAATAGTCTTCTTGAAAAGACCAAGGGACATCCAAATTTAGATTCCTCGACACCTGAATATAGGCTTGGTTCTGTGATTATGGATATTGCACATCATAGGCTTTTTAAACCCGCACAATTCACGGAAGAAAATGCAGCTAAAACAATCCGTCTTTTCATTAAACTTCAATATGCCAATAAAGGAATTGTCGCAGTTAATACATGTATAAGTAATATTCTTAATCACAAAAGGGTCCAGTCTTGTATTCCACCATATTTCAAGTTAAAGACTACGCTTTGTATTTCCTACAAATATACATCAACCATTGCTTCCAAACTTTTCAATTACAAAAACACTTTACATGGCCTGGATATCGACTATCTGAAAACTAATCCCCTTTCGTGTTCATGTTCTTCTTCGCCCTATAACTATAGTCCTGCTAAACACGTTATTATAGGTGACGTAAAAATAGTTTGTAATGAGGACTTTAGATCACTTATTTTAAAAGGTCCTAAATATAGAGAACCCTGATCCTTCAACTGGCGTCGGAATTTCATAAATATTATGGATTCTGTTGAAAATTACGCCAGACAATGGGCTAGATATGAAAAAGAAGACATCGACACCTTGTCAGAATGGATTAAATTATCAGATCCATGTTAAAGTCACGTATTAAAAGATTGAAGGGCAAAGTGAAAACCATCAATCCTTCTGTGTTCAATAAACCAGAAGTGAAAAAAAAATTAGATAGATTACACGATCAGTACGTACTGGTTCCTGCCGACAAAGCAGGTAACAACATTGTCTTCGTTTGTAAGTCTCATTATATAAATTGCATTCTATAAGAACTTGGATTCAATTCTACAAGTGGTAATCCTACTTATACATATACTTCTCTTTCTAAGGAAGATATTCTTCAGAATCACCTGTCAGTTTTGAATACTTTTAATATTCCACAGAACCAAAATGAATTTGAACTACCTTATATATATTGGATTCCGAAACTTCATAAGAGTCCTTACAAACAAAGATACATTGCAGGTTCCAGTAAATGTTCAACCAAGCCGCTTTCGTTACTTCTCACTAAAATATTGACAGTAGTGAAGGAAAATCTTCAAGAGTACTGTACAACTATATATTCAAGAAGTGGTGTAAATCAGATTTGGATACTTAAAAATTCTAAAGAACATTTGGACAATTTGAAGTCACAAGACTTTAAAAAAATCAACAGCATAAAAACTTCCGACTTTTCAACTTTATACACAACAATTCCCAACGACAAATTAGAATCCAGGCTTTTTGCTATCATTGACAGCTGCTTCTTCAACAAAAAAAGGAACTTGTAAGTTTACTTACCTCGTCATTGGTCATTTGAAAAATTATTTTGTTAAAACAGATTCTGATTGAACACATAAGTACTCTGAAGTTTACATCAAGAAGATGCTTGAGTTTTTGATTGACAATATCTATGTGATTTTTGGAGACCAGGTATTCCAACAATCTATTGGAATTCCCATGGGTACAAATTGCGCTCCGTTATTAGCAGACTTATTTTTATATTTATATGAAGCAGAATTTATGCAAAATCTTTTACGTGAAAAGAAGAAAACACTTGCTGTGGCCTTCAACTCGACATTTAGATGTATCGACGACGTATTGTCAATCAATAATGATAATTTCCATTCCTACGTCGACACGATATATCCTGGTGAGCTTGAGATAAAGGATACCACAGAGTCAGACACCTCTGCTTCATACTTGGATATTTTACTTGAAAAAGACACTAATGGTAATCTAACAAACAAGCTATATGATAAACGTGATGACTTTAACTTTTCTATCGTCAACTTCCCTTACTTATGAAGCAATATACCTTCATCACCTGCATATGGAGTATTTATATCTCAGTTGATTCGATATGCTTGAGCATGCTCTACGTATGAACAATTTCTTAGACGAGGTAAATTATTGACAAGCAAGTTGATGATACAAGAATTTCTACAGTCTCGTTTAAAGTCATCATTTCGTAAATTCTATGGTCGATACAATGACCTTGTCAGCAAATACAATTTATCATTGAATGAAATGCTGACTGACGTTTTTCATACCAATTGTTAGTCCATTATTTATACACTGAATTGACCACGGATTTTTCCGTTATATCCTGATTATGACAACGAGCACACGGCGGGTGTGACCGGTCGGCAGGGGACGCTCACTCCTCCATGGCACCTGATCCCACCTCTGATGTTTCGGAGGTCCGTGTTTGCTCTGCTCTTATTTTGTATATTTGTTTAATGGACGTTAAGATTGAATACTGTTCGTTATTTCCATATCCTTCTATATTAAACGATGTTTCAACATAACTTAACCATCTAGACTTTTGAACAAATTAAACATGCGTGTGGTGGTTGTGGAGAGGGGGATAGCCTTTGACAAATTGTTTGAATTGTATTTTCAAAAAAAATTGTCTGACGAAATACTTAAAAAACAGTGCACATTTTGATAAATTCATGCACAACGCTTTGTACTAAAATAATATTTACTTTTGTTGAGAAAGTAAATTCAAAAAGTTCCATTACGGGCAAAATATGATTTCTAAATTCTTTCGTCTGAAACGCTCATTCAAAAAGCAATATGTGCTGCATTTTGAACAAAACATTGGCTGTTAAATACGTCATTATGTTAAACTTGTATGTTATTTAATTTTTTCTGATCAATTAGACTAAAATACAGGATTAAATTGTTTTTAACAAAGACTTCTGCACAATCAGATTTACAGTATGAACAACGAATATTTTATATGTCATTGAAATAGTTATATAAAAAAAAAATTCCGACATCAAAGTTGCTTGAAGTAATTACGTGTATGTCATGTCCATTTATTGGTGTTGTCATAAAGCAGTTTACTGCATTCATAACCATTTTTGGAAAATAGAATGTTTATTTCAAAAAGATGTGTACGTTGTCCGTATTATTTTATGTGCATTCTTAACCACCATTGAAGTAATTCTTTCAGTGATAGCTGTTATCTTAAAAGTTGCCGCAACGATCTGTATTTTATTGCAAATAAGTAAAGGTTACACAATTTCAAAGTCAAATCTATAATAATCTTGATATTTTTTAGATGAGACCTTGTATACGGCCATAAAATGATATATATATTTTTAATAAGGGCTTTTTACAAAGCCTGTGGATTATGGAATTCACAATTTACAATTTGTTATTATTTAATACAAATTGTGGATTGTTATTTATGCAGTATTAATTTTATTGTATCAAATCCCGTAAAATCGAGTATTTACATATTCATGTTCATTTACAGACAATGCAAATCTAGATATGTCTCAGAATAATTAATTCTTTTGAAAAATTGATTCGAAATCATAGAGTGCTGAAAAGTAATGCTTTAAAAAACTATTATAATTAAAAGGAATTCAGAACAGGACAAAATCTACTTAATGAATTAAAGTCTTTGGAACTGCAAACATTGAATAACTATATCACATACTGTTTTACCAATAGAAATAGCATACGACAACCCTCGAGTGCCTTCTCCGAATGCTCGCAAATTGCTCAACACGTTTTCTTTTGCATCTTGTTTGAAATGTAATTTCAATTGACTTTCTAATTCTTCTTTTTTCTTTAGAATTTCTATCTGTTTTTCTTTTTCAGCCTTCGATATCTTCTGAGATAACTCATCATTTTCATCTCTGAATTTTTCAATCTTTTCATTTATTGCGGCACGTTCCATCGGATCAGTAGTAGATTTAAGTCTTTCTTTTAATTTGGATATCATCAAGTTGTTACGATCAAACTTTTCACTATCATCTCTGACCTCCTCAGAATACTTTTTGTTGAATTCCAGTTCAATGTTGGCCATATAAGCTAGCTTTTTTCTTTCCATTTCTTCCTTTTTTTCGGCCTCTTGTCTCTCTATTGCTTTTTGGATTTCCTGAAATTCTTTATTTGTGTAACATGTCCCATTATTTTGATCCATTATTCCTCGTACCATTTCCAAAAGTTTTTGTACTTGTTTTTCGTTGTCCTCCTCGCTTGCTCTATTATTGAACGAAATCACACGCTGTCCACATTTGGCAAATAACCCCTTCAAAGTGGATGGACATTCATTCATAAACTCAGAAAAGTTTACACCATCAGCATTCATGTCGTCTCCTTTTGGGAACAGTAATATGGAATATTTAAACACAGAATCTCCAAATAGTTTTTCGATCTCTTCTATGACATGCTCTTCTTCTGGAGTGAATCGAGCTGTTCCCAAAACAATTATAAATGCATGTGGACCAGGTGCAGCTACCACAAAAAATTCCAAAATTTCATTAATCAATCTGTTACGTTCTTTATTCGTATCAAGAAAACCAGGTGTATCAATAACAGTTATAATATCTCCAAACTTTTCCACATCTTGTGATTGGCATGTTTCTGTGACCGAGACCTGGCTTGCACGCGAGGTAAATATTTTTCCTCCTAATATAGAATTGCCTGTTGCACTCTTTCCTGAGCCCGTTTTTCCTAACAAAACCAATCGTACTTTTTGTTTTTCATCTAAAACACAGAGTAGAAATTTATGTTAACATTCATCGTAGATAAGACAAGAGCGACTGTACGAAATTGTTTTATTTATCCTTAACACGAATACATAATCTCAGGAGAAACTATAAAATCATTCTATAAGTAGGAAATGAACTGTTTTATGTTCTTATAGTACCTCTTATCTTAAACAATATTTATATCAACAGGAATAATGTTAAAGAGAGTGAAATATAGTAGAACACCCCCTAGATAAAATGTATTCTTGTATGTGCAAAGATTTTCTGTACTGGACACACGATGTAATAGGATGCACACAAGATATGATAAATGCACGAAGCAATGTCAGAAAACAGTATTCAAGCACAAAAGCCTATTAAACAATACAGATTAGGAGCAAAACAATCAAGGGCCTCGAAAACAATAGAGGTGGGATCATATGTCATGGAGGAGTGAACGTCCCCTGCCAACTTTTAATACCAACCATGTGCTCCTTGTCATGATTCGGAAATAACGGGAAAATACATGTGCACACACAGTTGCAGTTATAAGACTATATAATTAAAAAAAATGATTTATTGACTATATTTACATTTTTATAACTATCTGTTGTAAACTGCAAATGTGATTTTTCCACCAGTATACGTGACTATCGAGTAAAATTGCGTAACTACGCAGGAGACTCAGATTTTGGAGACCCAAGATCGTGTTCACAACAATCAATATGTTACATACTCAATGTAAAAAAAGGATGGCTGACCAACATATTGCAATGAGGAAAATGAGAAAATCGGCCAATGGGGACGATTCTGATTTTATAAGAAAATCGGCTTCAAAAAAACCTGAAAACGTTTTAGAAAATGCGTCAAATAAGATGAGATCGAGAGTCGACTGCGCGTGGAAGAATTATCCACTTTCAGTCTGAAATAGGCCAATCACTACTGAATTAAATATTTCCTTAGATTCCAAAAGATCCCCTGTTGTCCCCCTGTCAGTCCCTGACATTTTCCTTTCTCTCCCTGACTTTCTCCTATGATCCCCTGTCGTTGTCCCTGCTCTCCCTGTCCAGTCCCTGTCGTTCTCTGTCATTGTCCCTGACTCCCCTGTCTACTCCCTGTCGTACCCTGACATTCTCTAATCTCCCATGTCCAGTCCCTGTCGTCCCCTGTCGCTTGTCCTGCTTCCCTGTCTACTCCCTGTCGTCCCCTGACATTTATTTTGGCCAAGAAAAGGAGTTTTAAAAATATTTTTGTTGCATTTAAGAGTGAAAACTGATATAGTCTTGAAAACTTTAAGCATATTCTTTTTTGAAAATATAGACTTAGAAAAAAGTTATCACATTTTTAAATGCCTGAACTTATCTCCTGTAATTTAGTTTCTATTACTTGTATCTATGTGATTTTTTTTTGGTTCGGTATCATTTTCGTTGGAGAACGGCAGAGAAATATATCGATTCTAAAGAAGAAATAAATTACCAATATATTTCATCTTGTGATGGTAGACGGCATATACATTGTACTTTATGAACCTTTTATATATATTTATAAAATTTTTCATTTTTTATTTGATCTACTTTGAAACATCTTTGAGCATAATAACTGTCTTTGTACAAGAACTAGATTTAAACAATTCGGAATACATTATCAAATCCATGCATGGGATATTCTGTTTTCCAAAAGAATTTAATGAATAAAAAATTAATTGAAAGGAATGAAATATAAATGCATTGATCAAATAAATTTTTATTTAACCCCTTCTATACCGCATCGGTCAATATGACCGATAGCGCGTTAAAACACGACATCGCGATAACAGGACATCTGTATATTTTAAATAATAGCATTAAGGTATATAAATTATATATCATCTTTTAGGAAATTATCTCTACTTTCAGACCCTGTAAAAGTTTTTAGCCTTATTAATCGGTAATGAATGGATTTTACGTTTTGAGGACATTCATGACTTTTTGAAAATGACGCAATTTTCCAAAGCAAGGACGAATATCCTGACGATAGGTATATTTTTTCCTGATTAAATTATTTAAATAAAAATATATATATTTAAAAAAGGATATTTTCTCTGCTTTTAAAATATGTAAAAATTATTGCTTTTACTTTTGAATATAAAAGTGTGGGAATCTATCACACAAGACAGATACATCCTTGATGCTGTCAAAGGTTATTCATTAGAGTTCACGTCATTGCCTGTTCAATATTCAGTGAGAAAACATAAAGGTAATGCTGCAAAGGCAGTTGCTCTGGACAATCAGTTATCAAAGCTAATGGATAAAAGGAAAGTGGAAATAGCTTCACACACTGACCACTGGTGAACATATCTCGATTGTGTTTTAGCGTCCAAAGAAGAATGGTAACTATCAAGTTATTTTGAATTTCAAACAAAAAAATGTAAACATTGACTATGCTCATTTTAGAATATGTTATATGGGATCTTTGGACCTGAGTGATGCATATTATACTGTTAATGTGGCTTTAGACCGTAAATATTTAAGATTCATATGAAAAGGAACCACGTATCAGTACACTTGTTTACCGACTGGTCTTTCAAATGCATCCAGGCTTTTTACAAAACTCATAAAGCCTGAAAGTGCTTTACTCAGATCTAAAGGACATGTGTCAGTTACATACATTGATGATTTCAAATTACAAGGAGAAAAGCGTATATGGGTTCTTTGGACCTGAATGATGCATATTATACTGTTAATGTAGCTTCAGACCGTAAATATTTAAGATTCATATGGAAAGGAACCACGTATCAGTACACTTGTTTACCGACTGGTCTTTCAAGTGCATCCAGGCTTTTTACAAAACTCATAAAGCCTGAAAGTGCTTTACTCAGATCTAAAGGACGTGTGTCAGTTACATACATTGATGATTTCAAATTACAAGGAGAAAAGCGTGAACAGTGTTTATAAATACACATGATACAAAAGAACAAATAGGGTGTAAAATCAATAAGAAAGAAATAAATCTTTGGAAATACCTACACATGAAATTGTTTTCCTAAGATTTGTTTGAATTCTTAATATTTACATTTTCAATGTCTTTGCCTGAGATAAAATTACAAATTGAAAATGTACTTTATTTTCCCATCAATGTATTGGCGCGGTTCAAAAAAAAATCCACGTGCATGGCGGAACAAACAGCTAGACAGAAGCAGGGTTTGGAGCACGTGGATTGGCGCAATCAAAGTATGTAAATAAATGTAAATATAAGGAATAACTGTCTTATTTTTCAATTTTATCAAGAGGATCAATCGATTGGCTTGCGTGATAATTTTATGCAGAATAAGCAAGTAATCACGCAACACAATCGATTGATCACATCATGAAATCAAAAATAAGGCATATATTCCTTAAATGAATGACAATCAGCCTCAATCCACAGAAGGTAAAGAAATTAGACAATCATCATGAAAAAAATGTTTTAAAAAAATCATTCTCAATCAGACAAGTGGCAGAACTAGTATGAGTCCTTATTTCTTCCTCAGTAGTAGTTTATTTGGGAATGTTGTACACCAAAATACATACGAGAAAAAAGGCCATAGCCCCTAAATGGAACAAGGGAAATTTTGATTCAAAAATTACATAATCAACAGAGGCGCTTTAATATGGTGGTCAAATGCAAATGGTTAGAGGTATTAGAGCTCCCATTCGACAAATATATAGCAGTGAAACACTTTTTAACCCCCCGTTCACACATGGACGCCTCTTCTACTACGATCATAGCGTGGCCGAAAGCGTAGCCGATCGTGACAAATCGCAGGAGAAACGTCGTGAAGTCTTCATCAGCGTTAAAATATTCCGAAAAAAATAAATTTAATATTAATATTTTTTTTAGAATTAGTTTTAATTTAATGTGAACTATACTAATGCATATGTATGTATGGGGTCTCAACCGAGTTCGGCCAACACGACTTCATGTACATCAGCTGTTTGTCACGTGACATGTTTAAAATTAGAAAAAATATGTACGGATACAAAGATCGTAAACGTTCAACGATATACGGATAATTTTTCACTATGAAATTGATTGTGTTTTATTTAAGACAAATTTCTTAACCCGAAAAGTGCTGGGAGTAAATTCTCACTGCCCGGGAATTATATAAGATTTAGCCGACTTTTGATAAAGTATGTGCATTTACACTATACGCATTGAAGAAATGTAAAACTACGGAAAAAATAGACAGCGCACAACTTGCTCCTAGCACTTTTCAAAATAGTAGGGACAGTATCTACATGTGTATAAAATATCATAATTTATAATAAAGCGGATATCGTTGAACTTTTGAGATTTTGGAGGGGTTGTACATATGATTGAGTGTACGTTTCTATATACACCTGGGGCCCGTTTCACAAAACTTATGACTAAGATCTGTCTTAAGACCGAAAATTATCTTAAGATTGCACCATAGCCGTTTCACGAAACTGTCATATCTTATGATAATTTTAAGATCTATCGTAATCTTAAGACAACTAGATACATGTCTTAAGTCTAAGGTGAAACTTGCAATATGTATTGCTTGCGACTATGTATTTTGGCTAAAAACCAATGGATATTAAAAGAAAACGGTTTTTAGAGATAGAAAAACCCTTTGGACTTTATCCGGCCAGTCAGAACAATGACACCCCCCCCCCCCCAATAAAAATGCCGAAAAACATACGATAGAAAAACTAAAATGTACATACTTTGTGTTTTCCTCTTTCTTCATTTCAAGACATTTTTCTTAGGTTCTACCCCATCCCATCTGAAATTGCGCACCCCCCCCCCAAAAAAAAACCCAGATGCTTCTTAGGATCATGTGCAATTTTTTGGATTTCATTAGTCCATGAATTTTAGTTTTATTTATTTTGTTACAGCTAGTGTGGTAGACAATATATAAATGATTATTGTATGCCTCTAATTGTGGTGATTTAATTTCCAAGTAAACATTTTTTTCAGTCGTACAAATTAGATAAAAATAAAATAGTTTAATTTCTTAGGTATCCTCATTAATCCACCAGAATGTGATATTTGTATGACAATTCAATATGCTGTAATATTTGATGCTATATGTAATGTACATGCTTTCTTTATGCTTATTTATAATAGTATTGAAACCGTAGAATTGACTGGAATTTTTTCTTTTGTTTCTCCTCTTCATCTGTTAGCATCGATATTTTGTTGCAGTAGTTGAAGCGTTTCAAAGACACCTGCATCGAATTAACTTTTAAACGAACTTTGAACATGCTTTGGTGTCTCAAAAGGGGTCATTGTCAAAATTGTACGTAATTTGCAAAGTTTCAGATACACTAGTAGTTTTAATCAACAGTAATCACTGTTAATTAAAGTTGATACTATAAAATGTTGTTTTTGTTTTTCGGAGGGTTGTCTGCGAAAGAAACTATATGAAACACACATTATTTCAATATTTCAAAGGAAAATTAATGAAAGACTTAAAAATCCCAGTAATATTAAAGAATGGAATTTGTCTTAAGACTTGTCTTAAGATTTCTTATACTTAAGATAGTTTTGTGAAACAGACGTGGCAAATCTTATGATTGTCATAAGTCAGATCCTAAGATGATCGTAAGATCTATCTTAGGACAAATCTTACGATAGTTTTGTGAAACGCGGCCCTGTATAAGTGCATGACTGCGGCTTTTATAAGAGACCTAATAGTTATCAATTAAATAAGACTCCTAACTATTGATTAATGCATTCAAAAATATGAATCAATTGTAGTCAGATCAGGCTTATATAGATTTAATTTTCATATTTTCAGTTCCACTAATTGCTTAACCCTCTGGCTGCGGGAAGGACATATATGTCCTTTTACCGCTCGCTGCGGGAGGGACATATATGTCCCTGGCGACGTCATAAAGTTTGAGACATTTTTTCACTTTCTTTATTGAAATTTATATATTATAATAATTAAATTTGACTGCAGTTTTTGCTGAAATAAAAGCTAAGAATTTCAAAACAACTACCAATTAATGAAAGTTGAAAGTTAAAAAAAAATATTTTATAATAATTCGTGCAATTTTTATGCATTGATTGCAAGTTTAAAATGCGCAAACAAAACACTGTAAA